AGTGCATTTGCACTGTCTCGAGTGATGATTATAGGGGGTTTTGGTTTGTTCTTTGAATCAGGGGGTCTACCTCTTAGTCTTCTAGTCATTTCCCCTTCTTCGGTGGTAAGCACTATCTCTTTCCCCTCGGCGATTCCACCGATGGTGGTGATGGTGGCGGTGTGGAAATATCATAATTTTCATCACAATCTCTCTTTAGGTTGCGATTTAAATGACTGTTTTCGCTTTTTTATCTTCGAGATCCCGCTGGCGGTTTTGGAATTGGTGGTGGTGGAGTTGAAGATCTCTGACCTGAATCGAAGATAACAAAATGCGTCCTCGAGCTATTAACTTATCCATCACTTAACTTGAAATACATGTCTACTTCTTTAACTTATAGAGAATCTTGATGAACATGTTCAAATTTAGACGATTTTGGTGGGTTTTGGATTTGGAATGAGTGGGTGTGAGAGGGGTGAGTGGAGAAGAAGATGGATAGTGTGTTTTATTTAATTATTAATATATTGTAATTATGTTTTTTTGTTGAAAATGTAGAGTTATCATTTTATCCTTTAAAAATTAGTCAAAATTAAGGTCAATGTTAATTTTTTGGTCAACTAACGGTCAAATTAACAATTTTCATCAATTTGGACTTCAACTGCGAATTTTTGAAATGTTTGGTATCTGGTTGGCACAAATAAAATGTTTAGGTCAAGTCTGCTAATAAAAATAAACTTTGGTACCTCGACTGCAGTTTTTTCTAAATAAAAATTCAATCCAAAGCTCAAGATCAACTCATAAAGGAGAAGAAAAGATAAATCATTAAACACGGCATAAAAGATAAAATCTCGATTGGTGATCCTCAAGGATTTTGATTCTTGATGACCGATCACTTTGAGAATAATGAAAAAATTGAATTCTTATGAAATATTGCATTAAAAATATATTTTTTCATATTGGGTTATATTAAAAGTATGAATTTGTAAAGTATTTATGAAATTATTTAGACTTGAACTTTGATTACCCATTGAAGAAAAGAAGAATAAGCATATGGAAAATGAAATTTTAACGTGAGATAATTCTGGCGTCTAGTTTTTAAAGATCTAGTGCATCTTGATGCAAGAAAAATAGAAATTTGAAAGAATCGAATTCATTATTGGTTCTCCAAGCAATACCAATAACTGGAGTTTTCGATGCATTGTCCAAAATCGACCTATACCGAAATCGAACAGATTGGTTCTATTTGATTTGGTCGATTTCTGAGAAAAAAGGTCCACTGATTCCAAAAAGGGCGAGGATGGAAACATGATTCCTACATCCAAACCCTATTCGATTTTTAATTTATTTTAATTCTATCTTACAATTTGAAAGTGTAAGTATTATGCCCTAGGTCCAATCGACTTTGGACATAAATACTTTTATATATAATTAATGCAATTAAATGGCAGATCTATTATTTAATTAATAGACAATTAAATAAATAATAGAGTCCGTAGATTCAAATATTTGTAATTTATTAATCACAAGGAGTTGTGATTGTGAGATACAAATTACATCTGATTGAATCTTAAATCATCCGTGGTCGTAAGTAATAACGAGATACGGATATCGTTATTACGGATAGACCATCACGTGTGGCATTTCTTACTTGTGAAGTAAGTGGCTGATCTCACAAGTTAAAGTGTGGTGACACTTAAATGAACACGTGGATGTTTGTTATAGAACAAAACATTGGAGACCCGTCGAGAGATTCCACATGGATAACTATCTGAGTGTCGGTGGTTAATCTCTAACGTTCGGTAGTGAAATTGGTCCTTTGACTTGAGGTCGTCATGGTACCTTATATGAGGACAGTCATACTTTGGCGGTGTTGGATGTTGCTCTGAAAAGGGCCGCTAATACGACATCGTTCGGGTACGTCAAGAATCCGGCCAGTCGTAGGCCCAACAAGGCTACCCGACGCCCTTCCCGCCATAGATCCCTTCCACGATACGGAGAAGAAAAGAGAGAGAAGGTACAATTGGAATTGCAGTTGCATCGCGAGAAAAAATGGAGTTCAGTCTGAGCGGGAATGCACTCAAGACCTTCGCTCGCTCTATCACGTGCCTCGCACGCATCGGGAACGAGCTTGTCCTTCAGGCCTCTCCTTCTCAGGTTCCATTTATGGCTTTTTGCTCAGATGTTACGCTGTTTTCTTCTTAAAATTTTCAAAATTTTGACGTCTTCGTATGATAAAGTAGAATTAAACAAAAAGTTGAATTGGTAATATGACAGTTGTTTAATGAAATTTTATGCGTTAGTTGACTAGAAGTTGATATTAAGGAATTATTGCCCAAAACCAGTGCGCCTGATAGTTCAATTAGGGTTCAATAGGTTTAGTAATTATCATTTACTACATATGAGCAACATGAGTAAATAATAATTGATACTCGATTCTGGGTTTGGGAAAAATTAAAGGAAAATGAAGGTGCTCTCAATTTTTAAAGTAAAAGAACCTCCAACGTTGTGAATTGAAAAACGTAAGCCATAAGAACTGCTTGTGCTTTTCCAATTTTCCTTTTAACCTTTGGAGAATACTTTTTCACATTTGCTTAACATCATCACCGGGTGAGATTTATAGGAATTAGAAGGAGAAGCATTATCTATTCTAGATATTGTAGCATGCAATCATTTACATTTACCAGTATATTTGACTCTTTTTTTCCCCTTTTCTTTCGGATGACAGCTCACTCTTCATACTCTTAACTCGTCGAGGTCAGCATATCAATATATAACATTAAGGCCCCATTTCTTTGATGTATTCAGAATATCAGGTGGCCAGATGCAATGCAGCGTGCTTTTGAAGGTGTACCCCCTCCCCCCCCCCAACATTTACTGCTTTGTATTTGGATATATTTTTATTGAGTAGGTTGGGTGATTTTATGCTGATATTGGTTTATGCAGGCAATCTGTTCTGTTCTAAGAACACCCATTGTCAGCATCGATCATTTGAGCATGCTTTTGCCTGATCCTGATGCATCGAAGGTGCAGTGGACTTTGGACTGTGTTAATGGTAAAATGGCTCCTATTTTTATTTTTATCTTCTCTCCATTTCCTGGCTCCGATCGGTGGGATAATTACTCGATGCAATTTACAAGTTTAAGATGTTATTTTGAATTTACCTAAGATTTCGTGTAATGCTATAAAGTCACTGAAAAATAGTTGTAGAGGAACTATCATGAATATTTGTTTTTATACCTTCCACATAATCAATGATTTTAACTTTAGTTTAGCTCTCTTTTCAAATATAAACTCTAACTGGAAGTTTATCCTTCAGGAGTGATTCACATTAAATATGTAATCTGAACTATTAACTAAGTAGATATACATCTGAATCTGATGATCATGCATGACGGTATAGTGGAAGTTGGGTCAATTCAAGTTGTTTCAGAGACATCATGGTACATTCTTCTGATATCAACCTGAAATGAGTAAAAGTGTAAAAAAAAATCATTCTTTTTTTGCAGGTATGAAAAAATCCTATTGGATTACTTGCAATGTTGAACCTGACATACAACAACTATCACTTGATCGGAGAAAGCTTCCCAGCAACTTCGTAGTAAGGCCTCGTGATCTTAGCAGATTATTAGCTAATTTTCAGTCAACCCTTCAGGAGATCACGTTCATTGCGACCCAGCCTTCTTCCTTACCTCTTGATGCTGCAAATGAAATTGGCGGGAAAGCTGTTGAACTCAGAAGTTACATAGACCCTACCAAAGGTAGGCTAGGCTATTGTCTATTTCCCTCTAATGATCTCAGTTTACTGTTAGATTCAATTTTATGGGTTTTTATTTCAGACAATGATTCAACACTTCACACACAGTTGTGGATAGATCCTGCTGAAGAGTTTGTGCAGTATACTCACTCTGGGGATCCTGTAGATGTAACATTTGGAGTGAAAGAGTTGAAGGTACTCAGGCAAACATATTAAATAAATTCACTTCTCTTCTGAAATCGCTGTAAAGAAACTGAGATATTTATCATGTTTTTTAAGTTGTTCACAGCTCTTAATTTTTTTTTCTTGTTTAAAATTCCAGGCATTTCTTGCATTCTGTGAAGGATGTGAAGTTGACATACACTTATATTTTGATAAAGCTGGCGAGTAAGATTAATCTACTTCCAGTGCTTTACCATCTTTATTGCCCCTTTTCCACGCTCCCTCTCTCCCCCCCTCCCTTCCTCAACTCCAGTGCCTTCCTTTTTACCCAATCTGAAGCATGCATGTGCATGCACCAAAATTATACCCCAGGATATATGGTTGGTGACATTGTTGTCATAAATGTGCATAAATTGTATATGATTTAGAGCTAAAACATTGTATCTGAATTGTTGAAGTCTGGATACGATTTAGAGCTTTTGCATTGGATCTGAATTGCTGAAGTGAGAGACTAGATTTATCAATTCATTATAATATTAATGTTATTATATAAGTGTGATTTCTTTCGCTGGCCTTTTGAGGTACGTTGGGGATTTAATGTAGCTACTTTTATGAAGTTACAGCATCCTAGTTTAGCTTGAAGCATAGCATCAGTTGCAATGCACATTGTACCACTGAGTTGATGATGAAAACCATGTGAATCCTTTTATCAGTTTTGCTCTTCCTTCAACGCAACTTGACATTTTTTTGTCTTATATTGAGGGTTCTAAATGTAACTGAAAATCACGTGTCACTTTTTCCTGCTGCTGATATTAACTCTCGGTAACTGTTGAATATATGTGCATTCGGCCTTCTTATTCTGCAAAATGAAGAGTTATTTTCTTTTCCGCATACTTGATTTTGTGGTGCGGGGATATATATTTTGACCTTGTTAACCATGATGTGAAAATTGGAGAAACAGGCCAATCCTGATGGCACCGAAATTTGGGTTTGATGATGGTTCTAATTCAAACTTTGATGCTGCCCTAGTGCTTGCAACTATGCTGGTGTCACAGCTCAATGGTGTGAATTCTACTGCACCTGCAGCAGCAGCAGCCACTGCTTCTCATGGAACAGAGGCCCCAGTACAGGATAGATCAAAAGGAAATGTTTCTGAGCATCCATCCGATCACACCAGAATATGGTCTGAACTCTCAGGTAAACTACGCTTGCTTTTAAACTTAAAGACTAAAGGTTATGTGGTTTCTTAAACTCCAACTGCCTACAGGAAGTGCCACAAGAAGTGGTAATGGTGCTGAAGATAGGCATGTTCCAGGGGAAAGAAATCGAAGTACCAATGAGCAGAGGACGACTCAGGGGATTGGGGCAATGCACATTTCGAAAGATGGATATGCTGCTGGAATGCCTGGGGGTCATAGTGAGTATCCTGATAAATTTCATATTTTTCTCAGTCTTATAGCCATGCTTTTAATAGGTTTGAGATTTTTATAACCGTAATGATACCTTATGTATAATTGCTCCACCAGAGGCAAGCAGAGATCTGCTGCTTGCCTGCTTATGCATGGAACTGGTACGCACATGCTTTACTGTGCTAATGGAGGGAAAATAGAGGCCCTTGTTTGAGCCACTTTTTTCAGTAATACATTTTTCTCCAAATTCATTTTCAACCACACACTCTTAATAAAATAATTTTACACTTAAACCTAAAACTTTTTCATACTTTTCAGTCACATAGTTGCCAAAAAATCATTATTCCCAAATCTATTTTTATCAAATAATGGGGCTCAAACAAGCGCTAGATCTATTGTCAAATTCTAGTACTGCTGTTAAAATTCTTAGTGGTTCACTCGTGACTTGCTTGTTTAGACTTTATGTGTATCAGAAGTGCCATATCTCTGTACTTGTTCAAAGAAAAGGAAAAGAAAAGCGCATTGTCTCAGGTTTAAGCTCTTAGTAATTGAAGCGTATTTTTAGAGAGATTCTTATTGCATTTTCGTGCTGCAAGTTGTTCGATAAGATACAATGATAGATCATCATCAGGATGAGGCTTCTTTCAAAAATTTCTTGAGCTTGAAAGTTGTATGCTTTGAGTCGAGGCACCCAGCTAACTTTCATATTAAATACCATTACTGTATAGGTGGATCTCATTGTCAATTTAAAATTGTTGAACCTGCTGAGACTAGGGGACAACATTGCCTGTCTAGAAATATTTCCATAAATTGTAAATGATTGTTCCATTTCAATGTTATAAAAATAAAAATGACACTTGCCACCAATTTATTGGCATCATTCAACAATTTGAGGATCTAGGATGTGCATCAACCTGAGGAAGCTAGGAACTATAGGCTTTTTAAGTGTGTTATATCTGCAATTAGAATATGATTTGTTTGGCAGTGATACCGTCTTCAATAAATGCAGTAAAATTAATATCTAAGCATATGATACACTTTAAAATGACTAATTTTCTTGACCGAATGCATTAGCTGCCATGCCATGCAAATGGATAATGGTCAACAGCCTCGAGGTTAGTTTCAGCGTGCAGGATTTGCCTTGTTTATATTTTTTGGTCTGTATTAAATCAACCATCATTTCTTGTGATCTTAGATGGGGCAGAACTAAATGGTCATGTTATCTCACAACGTCATCCAAGTAACTGGGTGGATGCTGATGAGGAAGATGATGAAGGGGATGAGACTGACTTATGCGTGCGCTCAACGCCTCCATACTATGAGGAATGATGGCTATTTTGGATTTTATGCTTTGTTCGTTAAGAGAGTGGACTGGGTACTGGTTTCTCTTGTAAGTGCAATTCTCATTCATTGAAACACTTCAATGCCTTGAATTTTTTCAGTTCTAGCTGCTCAAGTTTGTGGATTAATTTATCCTGCTTGCCTAAATTAGGAGATTTTTTAGTTTCAAGCACAAGGGTCACAGGATGATTTAATTTTGATTTTCTTTTTTAATTTTCTAAACTCCGATAACAAAAACCAGAAAAAGTCCCTGGTGGCATTTTGTAATATTCTTTTCCCTAAAGAAAAAGACAAATAAATTGTTATGCCTCATGATTTTGTCCATCTTGATTATCAAGAGTAATTTATCGAACACCAATAGTAGGGTCTCGAGTGACCCTCAAGCTTCAAATTCCTTTCCTGCAGGGCAGTCCTCCCTGCCCCCACAAATGGAAAAAGAGAGAGAGAAAGAAAAATGATGCAGCTTATTTCTTCTATCAACATAATGCCCTCGTCACTGGCTGCACCTCTGAAATTATTATGGCCTTGTTTGACAACTATTATTTGAAAACTCTTTTTTCTACTTATTCATTTTCAACCATATATTCCCACAATAAAATATTATATACGTAAATGGAAAAATTCTCTACTTTTTAACCACACATTCTCCTAAAAATTACTATTCAAAATATTGTTTTTCTCAAATAATGCTTGTCAAACAGTGGCTATATAACACGTGTTTTGATTTCATCAGTCGCTTTCTTCGAAATTCAATATAAGTTGATTGTGTTGCACTTTCTAGAGCTGCTTGAGAACTTTTAACAGTGTAGAAGTGTAAAAATTATAAGAAATAATAAAGTCTAATTGTTCAATCATTCTATTTGGCTTTAACTTTGATTAACACTTGTATTTTTCTTGAAATATTCTTGGTTTTAGTCTTGTGAATAGAAGAAAAATGTGAAAGATCGTAAACTGAATTATCAGCAATGGAGAAGAAGCAGGAGGAAAAGCATGCTGAGTATATTTATTTTTATTACTTCTTCGATACTGAAGCTGAAACATGTTTCCATTTTGCAGGCGAACTGATAATACGAGTTGGGCAAATCTGCTATACTGGAAAAGTTTTCTGAAATACATTAATGTGAGATATCTAGGAGAAGGTTACCCGATATCAAAGTCTCTGGCCATTAGTTCCCAGGGTTTTTCGGGTGGATGATGCAGTGCATATAAGCGGAAGTTGTAAGGTTTGATTGAATGTTTCAAATCTGGACTGAATTTCAGCATTATCCGTACTGCTTGCTCTCATCGTCAAAGTTCGTTTCTTTGTGAAGTTGCTTAATGTAGAAGAAGAAATACCGGAATTCAAACTGTAATACTTTTTATTGATGATTTCGCAAAACACAAATTTTACAAGTGATAAAATGTTTAGCAACATGGATTGGAGTCTATTATTATAGAAGAAAGAGATGAGTTTTAAATTTTCATTGTAATATGTCGACTAATATTTTGTAGGGAAAATTGCAGCTGAGGTACCAAACATTTCGTTTATTAGCAGACTTTGTTCAAACCTTTCATTTGTGCCACCGTGAGTACCAAACCTTTAAAAAATGTGCAGCTCAAGTTGAAATTGACGGTTTCTGTCCGTTTGATCACAAAAATCGTTAGTTGACCCCAAAAATTAAAAATTTAATTATTTCCTCAAAATAGGGTAAGGGCATTCTGGATATAATATATTTTTCCTATTAAATTAAAAATTAGAAAAGCAAAAGAGCAGAACCACAACCACAACCACCCATCCCCATCTCCTTCTTTCCCAACCCCCTTACAAACGACTTTCCACCTGTAGAAGCCATCTCCGGCACCACCACCTCAAATTGGAGGTAATAAACTCGTCCTCATCTTCATCTTCTACAACGTTGTTGTTTTCCATAATCTCATAATCGTTCACCACAACGTTCTTCACCTCAACGACTGCATTTTCACTCTCATAAACCAAAGCCGACTCCACTGTTGTCGGATGTTCTTCCATAACAGTGCTAATCTCAGTCGGAGTTGGTATTGAGGCAAATTCCAACGGTGGAGGCGCTTTAACTGAAATTAAATTCACATATTCAACAGACTGCTCAGATCCCCTGTGGTGGAAGCGAGACGCAGCAGCGGCGGTGATGATGACTTTCAGTTATAATATCAAAAATACCCCTTCACCAAACTATGAAATTCATCGGAAACTTTCAATTTTTTTTATGGTTGATATACGCAGCGCCTCCACGGCGACGACAACGTCGGTGTCGGAGAAGGACTGGACACGCAGTGCCCACTAGCTTTCATGGATTTACCTCCTTAAAGTCCATCAAATTGCACATTTCGTGGCCTTTATAACCAATGGATTTATTACCCTCATTCACACCCGAAGCGTCATGTCTCGTTCAGCTCCTCCAGATCTCATGGATTTACCTCCTTTTCTTGTTGATGAGTATTGTTGGGTGGGCAGTGGTGGTGATGCCGGTTGGGGGTGGTGACTGTCGGTGATGAATGTGGTGGTTGGGTGGAGTGGTTTTGATTTGGGGAAGAAGGAAATGGTTTTATTATTTTTTAATTTTTAATTTAATAGGGGAAATGTATTATGTCTAGAATGCCTTTACCATATTTTAGGGAAATAATTAAATTTTTAATTTTTGGGGTCAACTAACGGTTTTTGTGGTCAAACAGACGAAAATCGTCAATTTCGACTTGAGATGCACATTTTTTAAATGTTTGGTACTCACGGTAGCACAAATGAAAGGTTTGGACAAAGTCTACTAATAAACGAAAGGTTTTGTACCTCGACTACAATTTTCCCTATTTTGTATCGAATATATCTAGAAGTAGCAGGTGGTTTATATCCGGGCCTTCTTATGCTCGACGTGACATTTTACATTGTCTGATCTCTTCAAAATGTATGCTCGTTGTCTTAATTTAGGGTACTAAAAAGTCTTCCTTGAAAATCGAGGAGACCTTTGTTTATTAAGATATGAAAATAGGGGAAAAATTCATAAGACGGGTGTATTATTTACATCAATTCAAAAATCAGATAAATAGTTTGAAAATTCAAAATTCAAGTATATATTTAATTAATCAAAAATATTTATTAATTAAATATAATAAAGTCACAGGTATAGATCACAATTTATTTATTGGTCACATATCATTAATTTAAGTAGTCACAAATTATTTTAAGGTCACGAATCAAAATTTTTTATAGGTTACAGTTTATGTCGAGGTCATAAATCAAAGAATTTTATAGGTCATTTTATTTCGAGATCACAAATAAAAAATTTAGAGGTCACGGATTATTTCAAGATCAAATTAATTTGGTTACAGATTATCAAAACTTTAGTTCACAATTAAATCGTTGGTCATAGATAACTAAATGGTTGGTTACATACCACCATTACCATCGCTACCACCATAACACCACTACCACCAACTCCAACAAAATCGCTACCACCAGATCAAATCAAATGCTAATAAAAATAAGGACAACCACAACCACCAAGAAACCACCTTCGTCGTCAGAAACCTCCATAACTATCACCACCAAACACCTACAATACCCAACCCACAACTTCACCAACACCATTCACATCACCCTTGCCAACACTAACACCTCCACCACAGTTGGAAACCATCACGACTTCCGCCACCAAACACACCAACACATAACCACCGTCACCTCACTACCTCACAACAACTGGTTCACTCACTGATTCACTCCCAAAACACAAGCAGAACTATTCACAGATTCGTCCATTGTGGAGGCACTACTTCGAAAACACCCAGGGGATCATATTTGTGGTTAACAGTAATGACAGGGATCATAGTTATCAGACTCGACTCAGACATCGTCCCGACCAAGGTACCGGGCCACTAGGTTACTGGTCGAACCGGTGGGTCATTACTTAAAAATAATTTAATAATTTTTAAAGTATAATTTTTTATTTTTTATTTTTTGTTTAACACAAAATTAAAGTTTTCAAGTTCTTTGTCACTAATTTTTCTATACATTTAAATTAATGATTTTTTGAACTTATTTATCAATGATAATGGTTAAATTTTGTATATTGTATTAAAAAATATATTTTTTCCCTTTTTGTGATTTACAAATTATTTTATTAGCTATTGAAAAAAATCTTGTGTATTATCTATTCAATTTATCTTAGTTAAAAAAAATAAATTTCAAACAAAATAAGTATATAAAACAATTATTTGAAATTACAAAGTGAATGAAAATGTTGGACTAATTTCTTTAAAAAAGTTTCTAGAAGTAGCAAATTATTCATAGGTTAGATATAATTTATTAAACAAAAGACGATAAAGTGTTGCTTGCACTAGTGATAAGGTTGTGTTCTACTTAGAGGTCAATGATTCAAATCTTTGATACCTACATTTTCAATATAAAAGAGTTTTGAAATTTGATTTAAAAATCAATCGAGTCAAACCGAGCTGGACCGACCCGAAAATTATTCAAAAACCACCTGTTGGCCCGATCAAATTCGAAATTTGACCGGCCTACTTGCATCTATATAAAATTAGCTAGCCCAACTCGATCAAAGGCTCGGGTCATCGGTTTACTGGGCCAACCGTTCGGGCAAGGCCGATTTTAATAACTATGACAGGGATTGTGTTGTAGAGGCAAGGGATGAACTGCACAGTGGAGTACAGCAAGTCGATCAGCCACATCGGTGCACCACCGCCAGCAACATCACCACACCACACTACTATCGCCTGCCCTTCTCACCAAACTGTGCGGCTACCTAGATCCACTGCACCAGCTCACCACTATCGCTCGCTGTCGTTCTCGTGCACTTGACTGGAATTGATCTCGCCACAGCGTCGACTCTATGACGCCATGACATTGTCGTCGCGCAACCGCATCGATGCACTACCACCATCGCCGCCGCCACCATCACCCTCCGTACCACTACCACCGATCGTTCTCACCACACCACATCGCACAAATGCTTAGATCCATCGCACCAGACTCACCACAACATCGACTCCACAGTGTCGGTCGGGCAAATCTGTGTGGTGTCTACGTTTAGAGTCAACAAAGAGAGATTTAGGTTTGAAAATGGAACCCGGAGATTGGTTGAGGTTAATTAATTATAATATACTTGATTTATGATTAATTAAGGTTTGTACTTGAATTTTGAAAAGTAATCTTTAAATGTCGGCTGTTGTGTAATTTTCACTTAAAACAATTTATCCGTGGGGTCCATTTGGTTTATAGTCTATTTGCATATGGGATATTTCGATTTTTTCTACTGTTTACATTGGTATTATTCTTGAACTATGTTTACATGCCAGGATGACATTGATCGCCACATGAATTGAGAAAAGCTCTTAATTGATAAAGGCTTAATGTCGTCCAATTTCTTAAAAAAGTATGCATTTTGACTTAAGGCGATAAAGTCAAAGTAAATCTTGCTTTAATTCTTATACAATCAATCTACATAACGTGTTATTGTTGGTGACCTTTGATGCTCTGAAGCTGTGGGACCCATAACCCAGCTGAATGTTAGGTCCATATTGGAATGATTCTTGAACTAAAAAACAAACATGCGGAGGTGTCATTGAGATCTAAGTATTAAATTTAATAAATTTAAAATTTACAGTGTCATTATTTTTTATTTTTTTGGGCCTAACAAATTAGTCTAGGTAACAGTAGGGACCACCGCCTCATTATTTAATAAAAGTGGAAAGCAATTTTTTTATTTGAACAATAAGATAGTAGACCCCATTACCACATAAACAGAGGCTTAAATGCAGCGTTACTTTAACAAATTTGACCCCGTTTATTTATTATTTTTGGAAGAATGATAATAAAAAATATAGTCGTTACGAACTCCACACAAAATAAATAAATTTAAATTTGGTGGTTTAATGTGATGGATAACGATCATACTTTTCATTTTAATAAGAAATGAATGGAAACTAAACATGGGCTTGAAGTTCATAATATCAATTTTTATCGTCATTTCATTCAAATATTGATATTTCTACTAAAAAATGATGACAGCCAATCTTTATAAATCATAATAAGTCAATTTGATAGGAATTTTGAAAATCAAAACCTGTTTTTGCAACAAAAAAAATTACGTTTGAACATGTTTGGATAATTTATTAGAAGTACTTTGTTTGATTATTAATTTTTTTTTTTTTTGAGAAAATTGATCTAAGATACTTTTCTAAAGAAGATATTTATAAGAAGCAAAAATAAAAATAGAAATTAGGCCCTAACATTTGATATATAGAAGGAAGAGTTTACTAATAACGAATAAGACAATTAAGAGGAGATACCTGTTTTTTTTTTTTTTTTTTTTCAAGTCAAGTAAAAATAAGTAAAGATAATTAGATAAAAATAAATAAATAAATATATCTGTTTATTTGAGGAGGGAGGACGGCTATGAACGCGGAATCACCGAATTTTATTGTCTTTTATTTGGTCCCCACACACATTTGTATTACATCTTAAGCCCTCAACGGCTACATACACGTAATATAACTCATCCGTTAGCCTAACGCCGTTAGTTTTCGACCCACAAGAAAAATAGAATTCACTTACGACCCCCCAAAGTCGAAAGAGAACTAGATAGTCCCATTATCTTCAATTTTTTTCATGTCTGTTCAAGATTTCAAACTTTTTATAAAATGAGAACACAAATTATCGTCTTACTGATCCCAAATTATACGATAAATACTTGTGATGCAATAATGAGATAATTAACTTTTTTTTGTTGTTGATATATTTGATAGCAAGTTCGACTCACTCCACCAATGCGCGAGCTCATGATAGAGCCAAACAACACTTTCTTGAAAAGAATCTACTTAGGTTCATCCTCGCACCATTATCTCTCGAATAATGCTATTTAGAATTATTGGTTTGTTAACTTGTCTAAGTGACATTACTAATGACATTAAATTACAAGTTCAATTAAATGAATAACACAATTTCACTTTTAATTGAACTTTTCACCTAATGTCACGTAAATCGATGCTAATTGCCCTTGTATTTAAATGGAAAAGCAATGGAAAAAGGAAAACTCTATTTACTGTATGAATTCTGTTAAAAAAAGTCTGTACTTATATAGGATTGTTCCTGGAAAAATGGCCAGTGGTATTTTTGTATTTTGATTAGCATATGAGGCCAAATTTTATGCCTCTCTTACGCCTATATAATTCGGCGTACGTCCCCCATCTCCTCTTGCATTTATTCTTTGAAACACCTCAAATCCCCAAGAGATAAGTAGAGAAAGATAGCTACCATTTCCACCACCGCCACTGCTTAACCATTACCTAATTCAGAAACCGAGAAGGCAAGGTAAAGATCGCATTGAATAATCGGCTTAATGAGAATGGCAAGAACAGCTTCTTCTCTTTTTGTCTCGCTCTGCATAATCACATCACTACTACTTTCCCAAGCCTTAGCTAGCTCAGAGCAGGTGGCGGCCGGGTGGCTAATGCCGATGATGACAGCCGGTTGCAAAGGAACGATTGCTGAGTGTCTATCCGACACCGATGAAGAATTCGATCTGGATTCCGAGGCCAACCGGCGTATCCTAGCCGCTCGCCGCCGCTACATCAGCTACGGCGCGCTCCAGAGGAACAGAGTCCCCTGCTCCCGGCGCGGTGCCTCCTACTACAACTGCCGTCCTGGCGCTCGAGCCAACCCCTACTCCCGTGGATGCTCCGCCATCACTCGCTGCAGGAGTTAAAAATTTCTTTCACTACTGCTATTACTTTTTAATTGAAATTTTTTTTTATCATTTTTTAACTCTTATTTTTCGAGATTGAGTGTTATGTATAAGAGGAAAATGAAGATTTAGGGGTTTGTTAATGGTGAATTATTGATGTTATTTTCGATGTTGGAATAATAATAATAATACCTACTCTTGTTGTATTGAATTATTAGTGTAAATTAAATTCCGAATTTTTTTTATTTTCTTTCAAAATTTTAAATTCGTTGGACAAAAGGATTCGAAATTTTGAATATGATGGAGAGACAGATAGATATCACCTAAACTACAGCTGGAGGCAGGTACTAAATACCATTTATTTACATATCATACCAAATAAAATATAAAAATAATTAATTCCATTTTGGATATTCGAAAGCTCTCTCAGATTTTTATTTGTTACGGGAAGTTGTCACATGGCTCGTGCATCAATTGACTCGAGGCAAGATTTCCAAAGGACAGAGCATTTTTACTGACTATTAAGTTCTTGTTCGGAATGGTTTCAAAAGTTTTAAAAAATCGACAGTTAACTACACATTTTATACGATTTACAATTTTATAACTCGTGTATATATGTGTGTTAAAAGTATGCAAGGCTCATTTATAACTTTTGCTTTGAAATATTTATGTGGTTGGTGTCTTCGTACCATTTCTTTTTATCAAAGAAAAAGTTGTGAAGGCAAGAACAAGAAGAAAAGAAGGCAGGAATAAAGGAAAAGATAGCATTGGAATCTCTAACAAGTTGAGGTTTGATACGCGGCATTGGTAATCAATCGTGCTTGATGTACAATCATAATTGACAATGTTGTTGATAATATGCCACATGCCAAATTATGATTGGACGATTTTAAAAAAATACTTATTTTTGACAACATTGTCATCCATGATCGTACAAATAGATTAATCCATTGGCAATAACTATCCTTTACTTTTTAAATGGAAATATGAGGTCGATATGATATGAATACAAATCATTAGATGTCAATTCAACTCTTTTCACTTGTAAATTTTAGGTATTTAATTGAGCTGTAAAATTCATTGATCAACTCGATATTTGGACATAATTTCGATCTCTCTTGTCAATTAGAGTTTGAGTAACAACATTTGAATGTTCTTTATGCATATCAAAGTTTGGACATTTTTTGAGTTTGAAAGCTCGATTGACGATTTGTGATGTAATTAATTGTGGACTATCATCTTGTTGTTTTGTTTGACAAACCCTATAGTAAAAAAATTATTAGATTTTGATAAAAATTGTTGAAATGGATGATTGAAAAATTGATAAAAATTATGAACCCGTAAAATGTGTGTTAAAATTAATTGTTGACTTATATCACATTTTTAATGACTTTTAAAGTTATACTTAAAAAGCACGCAATAACAAAATGTAACACTACATGTCTAAATCAAGTGACCTATCCATAGTGTCCATATCTTTAGAGCTAGTGGTGTAAATGTGGCTATGAATAATTTTGAGGAATTTAGTGACCCGTGAAGTCGCAATCCAAATGATGCCAATAGTGGAATAAGATATTTCCATGAATTATGGGGTCCGATGAAAATCACATTTGCAGCGTTCTATTGTCTTCTTAAATAGAAGGAACAACATAATAAATTCATTAAGAATAAAGTTTAGTATAAAATTACAAATGAATTATGAAATAAAGTATGTTCTTTAGTTTTATAATCTTTAAATATAAAAATCGGTATTCTCTCCAACAAATTTAACAAATGACTTTATGACATATTTAATATATCAGACCGTAATGAAAAATAAGATTAAAAAAATAATAAAAAAATTGATAAGTTGCATTAAGGAAACATGAAAATGAGACAAAAATTTTAGTGGGACGGTCACGATGTCCTACGTGGTGCAACAGTCAAATGAGAAGTCACCACTCATCGGGTGGCCCAACCTCACCCACCCAATGGGGTGAGGGCACCATGTAGGACGGTGCAACGGTCTCACCGACGCTTTTCTCTAGAGATGGAGTTCAACATAATATCGAGGGTCCAAAAATATGGATATGACCCCTAACAACATTGCCATTGCTGTGACACAATCCCAATTAAAGTAGATGGATATAAGTTAAATTAATGTGCAGGCCAAGTTTGTCCGAGTATAACGCCATTAAAGAATCACATGGTGTGCATGATATTATGTCNGGGGGAGAGAGAGAGAGAGAGGAGAGATTTGAACTAAAGATTACAAAGCAAATACTCAATTATCATCAGAATCTTGATCAAGGATGTACAAATATGGAATTGAAGGTTCATGTTCATGAGTTCCATCTGGCTCTTCCTCCTCCTCCTCCCCCTTGCTTATTTCAGGAATATTCCAACCCAAATGCTTGATATAAACTCTATCAAAGGCATCAATTTTCAATCCTGATGCCAGAAATAGTTCTAACTCGTACACAAACCTATCCGATCTACCCATCAAGAAAGGTCTGACTGCCTGAGAAACCAACAATTTGAACTCTTCTTGCTTCGTCTCAGTAGAAATCTTGGAATGTTTTACTGCATCTCTGCAACATTTTATACACATGAAATCCCGAAAATGCTAAACTATTATCCCCTTACCTCACTTCGTATAAATACATGAATTCTTTTGACTTTTCCAGTCAAATATAGTGTAAAGAGCAGAACAAGTATTTAAGTCAAACTGACATGCAACTTTTACTCCGATAAGCTACCAATTATTATATTTGAGGTAGAATCTGAAAATAGCAAGGATTTTACCTTCTGAAAGAGTCGATCACACCAAATATGTGATGAACAATAATATCTACATCTTCCTCCTGCATATGAATCAGAGAACAAATTCTAGAACATATAAGAAATCGGTTACTAATTCGTCATGGCTCAATTGCAAAGGCAAAGCATTTCAATTTTCACTTCTTGAAGATGACAAGGAACAGAATGTGTTCTGGGGTAAAACAAAGTCACTAAATGAATAATTGTAAATTCACAGAAATCCAGTAAAACAAAGGAAATCTTGAAAGATCTGCACCACCTAAAGATGGAAAATAAGAGATTTAGCAATCTGCGCAAATGAATAAATTTTCTCGTAGGTTTGAACTGAAGGACCATAGTTAATTGTAAGAGTAGAAAGAATCTATGCGCATGCCTGCGGACCAGGGGATGGACAAGTTTAGGGTAGAAAGAATCACAATTATTTGTAAATTTTATCTAGGATACCTACTTCAAGTTACTTGATTTTTCGCTGTGATGTAACCATTAAGATGCAACGTGCATATTCACAATAGATTATCCTAGGATAATGACTTCAAATTTTGATAAATCATATTCACAATAGATTATCCTAGGATAATGACTTCCAATTTTGATCAATCCCCAGAAATTGATTTCTGTAGACAACATCAATGAAAAGTGAAATGAAACAAGGAGAGAAACAATTGAACCTGAGTTACAGCCTGAATTTCCCTTCTCAACCAATCATGTAGCCAACGATTCTGCTGACGATACTTGTGTGACTTCCAGTAACTTGACACTTTTACTTTATCAGCTAAGTTTCCTGTAACCTCATATTTTTTTAGAAAAGAATCAGAAAACTTGGGTGTACTAGGAGAAAAACTAGAAAGGCCATTTTATCAAATCCAATTAGCAGTACGATACCTGGTTCAGTGTAGTAGCATTTCAATCTATACCGGTGAGCTTCTGAAAAGAACTCGCTGAAGAGTTTACTTAAAAATATGATTTAAGAAAACAAAAGTGGGACGATGACAAATGTTTTCAGATAAAGCCTCAAGATAAAGAACAATGTCTAGAGAACTGCAATACCTATTCCTTAAATCCCTATTAACATAATGCCGTTGAAATGAACTTCCATCAAATCCGTATACAATAGATAGGTTTTCGGTCTGCAACCAGATGCATAAAAATCTCAATATAGTCAAAGAGATCAGAGAAACTATAAACGGATTAGATGCTATTGGATGTTAATTCTACACTAGAAACAAATTCAATTACTTTTGGGGGTATAGAAGTGAATCAGCAACCAAGAAGAGAATTGGTGCTCTTTCCACTTGAATTTGTTTTCTTACGATTTACCCTCCTTTTAATCCATAAAAATAAATATATCACGGAGCATTTCACCAACTGGCATATCATTTGTGTCCATATAAAATTCGGCACGTTCTCAAGACCAATTTTTGGCGAAGGAAAGGTGTACATTACTGTACCAGAAGGGTTATTGGACATCACATGTAATGTTATAAACAAAGTAAGAAGTATTATTTACAGTACTTTTAGGAAGACAAAATAAATTAGTTATTAATTGATTGACATCATAATTAAAAATAATCAAGTTAGCACTTTACAGGAACAAAGATAAATCTATACTGCAAATTGATCCTCTCGTCCCCTTTGGGTCCTACTAAATGAAAAAGAATACCTTCTAATTCTTTATGAGCTTCTTGTTATAAGAACCATAGATGAACTTCCATTGCATTTATTTAGCCCTTGTTTGAGCCCCATTATTATAAAACTCATTTTTCTCCAAACTTATTTTCAACCACACATTCTCCCAAACAAAATAATTTTACGAGTAAACCCAAAACATATTCTTACTTTTTAACCACACATTATCCGGGGGAAAAAATTACTATTACAAAATCTATTTTTAAACAAAATGGGGCTCAAACAAAGGCTTAATACCATCAAACAACTATAATTTCTTCAACAATGATAGTTCATTGTAAAAGAAACTTCAAACAATTTATTGTTTAATGGATAAGTGGCAAGATAGCTAATTTTTTTAAAAATATTCAAGCCACGGACAAGAGCAAAATTATTTATCAGTTCAGTAGCTTCATCAACTTAAACATACATTAGATGAAACAAAAAATGATAAAGCAAACCTTGCACAGAGGGCACTTCACGGATGAAGGTCCACAAGAGTGCTTGCTAGCGATTATATTGGTCCATCTTACAATGCAATTAAAGCAAAATTTATCTGCAAAATGATGCATAAACAATTTTTAAGATGCTAATAATTCATTTCTCGGACATGTATCTTCCAATATTAATGTAAAACAACAATTACACTAGCAAATGCTATCTTACATCCAGCCATATGGAAGAACAGACACATTGAACAACTCATATTTAGCTAAACTTGACAGCTTTTCTACTCTTTATCTACAGAGTTAATACATAGAACTTCAAAAACATCGAGACATGCAGGGTAATATTTATTATTTTTGGGTTTAATGGGAGGACTGTTCCAAATTCTATCGGTCATCAAAGTTGATGATAGTTGCTAAATTGTAGGAGGTTCTCTTGGTCTGCTGTTTCGTTTCTTTCAGTTTTCAGATTAGGAAGTTCCTGTCCTGATGTAATTAGGTCCTATGTTTATATGACGGAGTTGGTTACATCTTCAAATATTCAAGAAACTAATTGGAGGTTTCGGTATCTAAAAAGCGGGTTGTGCTCTTATTTGACTGGAAGGATATTTTATTTGCTTAATTAAAAACCTATTAGAGGATGCTCATCTTTTTCTGTATTTTACTTGTCATCGCTATACCCGGCTCTCTACTTGTAGGTAATGGGAAATGGGATACTCCCTGTAAGTGCCCACTGTAAATTGGTACTTATGGAGCATAGAATAAATCTTCTTCACCTTGTTCCTGCAAACAGAGTTGTTCCATTTTTACCAAGAGAATAGAACAAAAAATAGTTTGAAAACCAGTAGGGATAAGCAAAAACGAACAATATTTTGGAAACTTTTCCTCTTTTGCTTCTGCCACAGCATACTGTTACTGTAGCTCTTTAGTTCAAACTTAATGTAAAATGTTTCAAGCTTCTCTACAACCCTTAACTTGTTTCAATGTTTGATTTACCTTTATTAACAAAATCCAGCGTCATTCCACCACAGTTCACCCTCTAAAAGAGATCAACAAAAATTGTTCTATGTTATTTTATTAACGAAAGGCATAACAACAGAAAGCTATGCTCCAGGTATGGAAGTATATTGGAACATAACATTAAGGCTTAGTCTGGATCCTAGCTTTCACTGAAAAAAAGGGGGAGATCTTGATTTTCCTTTCGCATCCAATTAAATACGGGAAATCAAATAAGTTGACATCACAAGGAAAGAAAACCGATTCAAAATTGTCCCTTTCCCCAGTCTCTGCAATCATTTACTTCAAAACCAAACATGATAAGTGACTATCCTAGGTATGATGGTATTCTCCCCGGAAGTCCAGGATCCATTCAAAATGCTCAAAACTTATTAATTGTTGCAACAAGTCAATTATCCGCGGTGTAAAATGACAAAAAACTAAATCTTTCAAACTGATGTGTGTGTGTGTGTCTCTATATATATATATATATCGTTGATCGCTATATATAATGCATTAAATTTCATCAGCTCATAAACTTTTACTTCTTTTCCAGTAATACGAAATTGGAATCCTTTTCATTTTACTTCAGCCATTTTTGATAAGAACTAGTAAGAAGGTCTCAGTCAAATTCATTTAAAATTCAATTGAATTAATCATGACACACACAATTTAAAAAATCCAAATTCTACCTTACTTTCTTATTCTTTCTCTATCATCATAATAAATCCCTTGTGCTATTATTATTTTTTTCCATTTCATCAACTAATTACAGATGATTACTACATAGTGTTCCCCCTAGCAAGTCATATTGCTGTTATGCGTCCTCTTCCATACGTCATCCTTCTCAGTCTATATTCCCTCGACCGCAATTTATCCTCAGTGAATTCCCATAACTTCATAATACTTAAGCAATCGTCACATAAGCCCAGAATCCGGCCCGACGGCCAATAAATTAAAAGATGCAAGATTATCAGTTTCACAAAGAAACGGAGCTTCTTAGCATCTACACTTCAAACCAAAAATAAAATTGGTAGAAAGAGAATGGACTTACGAAAACACTGGTCCAAATAGGAATCTTGAGTGATGGGTCCGAGGCAAATGGGGCACGGGTTCGGGTTGGGAGAAGAACTGCTTTCTGGTTCCACCCTGCTTCTTTCATCTTCAGCCATCATTAGCGAGAGAAGAAGGCACTGCTTTCACTGTGGATTAATTCTACATCCTGATGATATTTGAAAATATTGATTAGTCCTCGAACTTTTGCACTTATTTCAAAATTATTATTGAACTCAAAAATGTTTTGAATTGATCCTTAAACTTTAATATTCATTTCACATCCGTCCTTTTGTCAATGACCTTGGATGAATTAATGGATTTTCTAATACAAGGACAGATCAGAAACTAATACTTAAGTATAAGGATTAATTTACAACAATTTTTTTTTATCTCAGGGACTAATTGGGTTTTTAATCAGAAGTAGGAGAAAAACTAAAATATAAGTTATAGTCTTTGTTGAGGTTTTAATTCAAGGAGTATTGTTTTTGCTAAACCATTGCCATTGACAGGTGACAGTATGAAATTGAGAAGATAAAATGTATATTTGACATATTCGACTCAAACACAAAAAGAAGATTTGTCTAGAAGCAACAATCCTTGAAAGAGTGCATAATAGTTTACTAATTGAGCGCTTTTGCGCTAAAGATGAACGGTGCAAAGCCAAAGTTGTGGATGTAAAAATACATGGGTAATCGAGTGTCCGACCTTAGAAGCAGTGGTGGACAAAGTGAAAGTGAGAACGTCAGCTTGGTGGCATAATTTAATATTTAAGAAAATGTATGGTGATTAAATATTTATGGGATTTAGCTGCTATCGAGCTGTTGCTCGACTCCCCCAGATTTGAAAATGTTGAACCGAGTAGGTACAGAGGATTCTGTAATGGCTTTGTTCAAGGATTTTCATATATTACAGAATCAAAGAAAAGATGATGAACCGCAGCACAGTAAGAGTGTAAATTGCCACGGAAGAACAGGGTGCAAGATAACAGAAAAACAATTCTAGGCTGCATTTATGGATTCACCTCATAGCACAATCTTGTTCCATCAATCAACATATACAACAGCACTCCTCCTGTTAATCCAAGATAACGAAGTAAACATACAGCAGTAAATTCATATTTCATTGCATTCGAGAAAGAGGAGTTCCTTTTGTTCTAAGCCTTGCAAGCAGATCAGAAGTGAAGAAATTGTTCAATTACGTTATCACGCGCAGAACCATCCAGGTAAAATCACCCCTGCATTCATATGCTTTTGGAGCTCCACCTTACGTAGCTGCAATTCACCAACTTGAAATTTCAACATCATAACGTCTTCTTTAATTAACTTTATTTCTTTCTGGGAGCTTATCCATCCCTCCCCGTACCTTTACAAACTCGCAGAATTGCCTCTGGTTTTGTTCTCTGGTTATTCGATGCAGCAGCCATGAAAGATCTTGACATATCAACTTGTTCAAGAAGCATAAACTGAGTGCTAAAGTTCACTGGCGTGCATCTTGGGATAGTTTATGGTATTCCAGCACCCATAATACATTTCCTTTTTCTTCTGTCAGGTTAGGATGTGCCTGTACGGTTAATAGCAAAAACATAAGCTAGATTACAATTAGAGGTGGGCGCGGGTCGGTTCGGTTCGGTTCTCTTTAGAACCGAACCGAACCAAACTTTTCGGGTATCTAGTAAATGGAACCGTCGGGTCCAAATATAATTATGGAACCGTTCGGGTTCGGTTCCATTCGGTTCGGTTCGGTTCCGTTCGGTTCTGTACTATAATTAAATTTTTTAACATTTATAACAACGTTATATAAATACGACTAATGATACATTCAATGGTTTTGGAATGTCAGATATCGGTAAACTACCTTGTTCAAATGATCGCTACGATCAAAGCTTCAGTCGACGAAAGTCACGGCTTCGATCGGAGGTCAGAGTGTCGGCCGACGATTGTATAGGTTTTGGAATATTAGCGAGACTGCGAGAGTGAGTGCGAGTGTTGAGACAATGTTATGCACTTTATTGTAGGTGTTTAGGGTTATTTAGTGGATTTGATTTTGTTTGGCTAAGAAATGAAACAATAAAATAGGTAATTTGGCCAAAAATTAAAAAATTAGAAATGAAACAAATTATTGGGCCAAAAATTTGGATTTAGAAATCATTAATTTGTTAATTCGTTTAGAAAAAATTAAAATTAAAATAATTTCATTTACTCAATATAAAAAAAAAATGAGAAAGATTCGATTCTTATTCGGTTCTTCGGTTCTTGGTCTAGAACCGAGAATCGAACCGTACCCGTCGGTTCTCAATTTAGATACCCGTTCGGGTATTTAATTTGACAAGAACCGTCGGGTTCGGATCGGTTCGGTTCGAGAAATTTGCCCAACCCTAATTACAATAATTTCACATGCGAACCACCTCATCTAAAAAATTAAGCTGCTAGAAAATGGACACTTTTATTTATTTAAATTTAGTATTAAACATGCCCCAAATATGCACACCGGATTCAATTTTCATCAAGCACAGACACATGCACAGTTTTAATAAATGGGCGGTGATGGTACTTGAAACCAAGGAGCTTTGCCTCCTTTGAATAATCTGCACTATGGATTTGTACTAAACTCTATCATTGAAAAGGAAAATAATTGAGAAATATGATTACTCATGTTTAAGTCAACAATTTGAACAAAATTTCTAAGCAAAGAGTTTGCATATCTTAAGGTACATGTCTATAGCTCTATAAAGGGAATACATTCTTTGCAAGGGATTACCTGAAGTAAAGGAAACATAAGCGTCGACCGCTTTAGTAATAATGACCATGTCAAAAAAAGAGTGACACCACTCTTATCTAAAAGATATGTAACTTTACAGCTTTCAAGCATGATAGCTTTTCTTCTTTCGAGCTTGTGTAGCAAATCTGAATCAATTTTCATGATATGAGCTGCCTTTAAAAAATGAGGTATAAAATTGCAGGAAACTGAATTTCTTTCAGCAGGCAGTATCTTAATCAGACATTCAGTCGAAAATTTATGCATTTGCACGGTCAGATTTTTCTGATTTCGATTGTTGTGCCGCAATGTGATTCCAGAAAACCACTTAACTGTCCAGTGAGCAATACAAGAACCTACAAGATTAGGCTGAATCTTTCTCCTTTTAATTGATTCTATTACTTCAATGAAGTGATCTATTCGAAGAAATGAAAGATCTTCGAACCAACAGTGATCTGATAAATTGTCAGCATCCATGTGATTTATGCTTTCAGGCAAAATATTTCAAATACACTTCATTTTCCTCACTGCTATTTGCATTTACATTCATACAGATTTCCCAAGCAATTGTTTCAGAGCGTCATTTCAATATTTGCAAGTCTCTTTCCCAAGAAGAGATGGATTCGCAGCTTTTAAAAATTCTAAATGTATCCTTCCATGATGAAACGATAATATAACTCAAAAAGGACTCAGTTTTCGAAATCAGATTTCCTTGGTCAAGATCATCACTCATTTCAAAGAAGTGAGCGGCACAATAAAGTGGAGTAACATTTGATGCTGTAAGATTGACCTTCCAAACTAAAAACATTTTGCTTCCACCAGGGAGTTCATCAATCTGGAGACTGAGATTGCCACATCCACGATTCTGAAATACCATTCTGTTTGTAAAACCACTTCTTGAGACCACAGGGTAACGAAAGAATATAATATTAAATTAACCACAAATCAAGAAGTATCTAAATAAGGGTGGGGGACTAACACAGAACTTTCATATTTTGAATTTTTTATTTAAAATATGGTAATGAAATGCAATAACCAATTTAGGAGGAAAAATCGATGAAGTGCACCTTATGCACGTGAGAACCCTCTTTTCTTCAATTTGTATGATCAAATCATTTGGAACTTTAGTCTGGATGAACCTACATGAGATGGTTATTAACCAAATGCCATGAACAAACACATGTACCAAAGCAAGAAAATATTGAAGTGGTATTAAATAATTACCAGTTGTTGTTTCTCCTCTCTATAGATTTTGCAACCATATCCACACTGGCTGCAAATATTATACAGTTATTGAGTTTTTTGACACATATTGATCCAGTAACTGGATATACCCTTTCAATACTTTTCACATCCATCACTGCCTTCTCATTCAGAGATGAGTAGTAGTATAAGTTTTCAAAGTTTTTTGGACACTGTTGGGTGACACACAATCTCAAATAGACACATACAATGGATCAGTTTATATAAGAGATTCTACATTTCTAAGGATGACACATCACTTTCAGCCTTTTATCCGATGATTGTAAAGCACAAAGTAGATTGGGACTATTGCCTTTTTTGCTATGATCAATAATGGTTGGGACAACAACACTTCTTTGTGATTTTCAGACAACAGTCCAGGACATACAATCAATGTGGCTCCATTTCTATTGTTGATTTGAACAACATTCATACTGTAAAAACACCTGGTGCGTGTTTGGTACACAGGACTATTCTTCTTCAATTCTAACCAATACTATCAAATCCTTCCTATTAAACATACCATTAAGGCATTATATTTAGAAAAGCTGAGAACATAAAATATTGAAATGAAACTGCTCTATTGTTCTGGATTAAGTCCTAATCCCTCCTTCCGAGAGCAATAATAAACAAAAAGCAATCAGAATACGAGCAAAGCAGACAAAGTTTTATAATGGTTCAACATGAATTTAAGTGCTATACCCACTTAGTGATCCAAGTTTTCACTATATTGAAAGTGTACTAGGGTTTCCTCATGATTCGAAAAAGTGACTTTTTTTGTACCAAAAAAGTGTGAACCAAACCAATTTGTACGTCTGGATCATGCCAGCACGTATGACTGTTGATGAAAGAATGCCAGCACCTATTCTATTGTTCAATTGACGAAAAAAAAAAAAAGTGTAAATTGATTTGATTATTATTCAGACAATTTGTTGCACCTTACTTATTTCTTGCAACATCCCTTGTTATCAATAATTTAGAAAGCTTAATACTTCTAAGATATTAAGCATGGACACAAATTTAAATTCATGCACAAAACCAACACCGCAAAAACCAAAAACATAAAAATCCTTCTCTTGAAACAAAGTGCAAATTTCACAAACATAAAGAAATAATAAAAATTCATAGTCACCAAAATTTTTAACAAAAACAAAAATAGTGGTTCCTCAGAATACTCTCCATTTTCTTCTTCTATTCAGCTTCATAGTCCTAAAATACCTAACACATCCCTCAAGATTTTCTTTCTTGCACAAAAAACCCATCAAAACAGCACAGCAACAAAACCCCAAAATCCAATCTTTAGCTCCTCTTTTCCACCCATTTATTGAAAACCCAAATAAAACTAAACCCAAGCTTCCGAAGAAAACATCACCATCTATAACCAAATCTTTACCCAAAACTAACCACAGCCCAACACCCAAAATTACTAAAATACCTAAAATTCCCAATATCGATTTCCTTCTCTTTTTCGATCCATCGAAAGCTCCCCATCCAAATCCATTCCAGGGTCTAAATCCTCCTCCATTACCCCCTCTATTCCCACCTCCGAATTCTCTCAACAGTAACTCCAATGGCTCCGGTAAAATCCCAGATTTCGAAGCAATAATATAAGCTGACTGGAGCGCGAGCTTTGTTGATCTTTCAAACCCATGTCTCGTTCTCTTGTTTCTGGAACACAGAATTGTTTTCTGTATGCGGTGCTTCTGTGAGGGGCAATTGTGAGAACAGTGCGGCGAAAACACTGGGTGTTGAAGGCTCAGGGACGAATGAATCATATTCCCGTTTGAATTGAAGAGTAGAATGGGATCTGAGATGAGAGGTTGGAATATGAATTGTAGGGTCTTCTGCATTTGCCCAGGGAATCGGAAAATTGAACAAGAGACCGTTGCGGGGTATTCAGAATTTTGAAATTTTCTAAAATTTTCTCTTTACTTTTCAATCAATCCATCTGTGTTTTTGTTTGGGAAAGAGCAATTTCTTAACAGGGGTCGTTGGGGTCGGTCCCACATGAAAATAATAATTAAGCTGGGGCTCGCGATTGAGTAATCTGACGCCTGACGGATTCCGTAAGTGTAGCAGGTTCCGTTTGTTTGTGAAAAAATGTTAACCCTAATCTTAAGAGTCCCCCACCACCCCTACTCTGAAACAACGTGAGAGAAGTAAATCGCAGGTTATGCCTCCAAGGGTATAGGGTGGAAGGCTGCTTGTACATTTGCACTTACCCAAGAGCCAAATCCATATTTCAGGATTCGAACCCTTGACGCAATAACCTCAAGTAAAGCTGGATTTCTCTACCTTCCCCTTTTACCGCTTGGAGATGTGCCCTGGGAGCAGGTTTCGTTTGTTTGTGGACTCGTTTTAACGTGGGACACGACTAACAAGCTGTGGACATTCTAAGAATGAATGGTAACTTTCATTTCATGGAGTTCATAATCTTTATAGAAATTTACATAAACAGCACTAAACTGGGGTTAAATAATGATATAACACACTGAAGCTCCGTCTTTTAATGTAGAATTTAGTTGGCCTCATTTCTTATAATTCATTGTCAATAGCACATTTTATTGAATCCACAGTTTTTATTAATTTTTTAATCATACATTTTACAACTTTTATCAAAATCTATTAAAAATCTATTTTTTATCCGTATAGTATGGCTTAACTTCAAATTTATACTATTGTGATGTCTATTTGTACTTGCACACTAAGATATTATTTCCCTAGTTGGCCATTGTTTTTTTAGAATTCATTTTAACCACGCATTTTATGAAAGTCAATTTTTTTTTTTTAACTTTTCAACGACATATTTCATTCACTTCTATCAAAATATGCTAAAAAAATTGAATTTAAAAAAAATAAAAATAAAAATAAAATGAGGACTATGCTATAAAATGATGAGGCATATTAAGATGTTGATGTGTCCAAAAGATGAAAGATGATTTCAAAGGGATGAGGATAACGCTAAACCTCTAAGGGTTAAGTTAGGTTTTCGAGGATTAGTCCACTCTGAAGATTTAGAACATGTGTTGGAAAGTGTTTACTGTTTATACACAATTCAAATTATAAATAGATAAAAATCATCGAAGGTTAAGTGAGTATACTTGTAGGTACTTCAAAATATGTGAATAAAAAATAATTTGAATGTTCATAAACAGTTTTATGACACATAAGCCATACCCGAGCTTAATAGGTTGTTGAGAGTTAGTCATGGGAACGAGAATATGTCTAGGATGAGGCCTAGCCCATCAGAATGAGGTTGAGTACATAAGGAAGTTAATGCGTCGAGGATGAAGCCAAGCTCATCAGGTCAAGCTTCTGTTAGGAGTATGACTCAAATATGAGTCTTTTGAAGAGGTGTATTCAACTTGGATTGGGAGAATATTAACTTAGGGTTTAATGAAACTAAGTTGAATAAGGAAACAAAATCATGTTGAAATTGGGTATCCTAATTGTAATATATTTTCTTGCTTTTTAAGACTCTTCTAGGGTTAGCCTATAAATACGAGGTTCCTCTGGTCAGTTTGTAGAGAGTAACATAGAAGCAGTATTGCTAATCTGTTTTGTGTTCTCCATACTGTTGAATTAATAAATATCGTTCCCTG